ACGTAATCTTTTAATGCAACCAGCGCCACACGAACGACAATTAAGAGTCTAACAGAGAAATATAATCCCATCTGGCAAGAATACATTCTATCGTTATCCCTTGTATTAAAACGTGCTCTTTAGCAGGAGCTCGAAATTGCTAATTTCAGATAAAAGAAACGGCAGAATTGAAACTTTAAAAAGTATCTCGTGTTAGATTTTCCCGCGGTTCTTTAATGTGTTGAAAACCTGTTCCGGGACTCGCTCGGGGACATCAACTTGTTAATATCGATGTGATCGATCGTGGAAGTTCCGTGGACATTATATCGACGACTCTTCTCTTTTTTCGAGCGATCGGCGGCCGTTTCGTTGCGCGCGTTTAAATGGTTTCCGCGAGGTCGACGTCGGGACAAGCCGCGAACAACGATGGAAAACTAAATAATTAGTGTGAACGACGGTGAACGATCGGTCGAACGGACGATTAATGCGGCGACGACCTACAATTGATTTTCTGATTGGGCGGTCCGACGGGGGTGTCCGATAAGGGGGGTGGGTTCGCCGGGGGGGGGAGGGGGGGCTCGTCGTCGCCGTGTGTGTATCCGTCATTCGTCTGGTACTCCGCTGATACTCGAACCACCGCCGGCTCGATACAACGGCGAGCCGGTGGCGTCACGCTTGCGCACATTCGACGATCGTGTCTTTATTTTTGCGAACGACAGGTCGACTCCCCCGTTCCCCCTCCGTCTCTCCTGTCCCCTCGCGGCCCCCTCCCCCTCCCCCATCTCCCTCTCCCGAACGCGTCTGGGGACCCGTGATTGCAACTCTGCCGTCGATTCCTCAGTCGCGAAAGCTGCACTCGCGATCCGCGGTGCACGAACTCGCGATACAATTGCGTGCGGGGGATCCGCGTGTTCGTTGTATAATCGAATTCAGACTGAATCGACGATTACGGGGTCAATTCCGCGACAAGGCCGGCAATTATAGCGCCGTGCGATTGTGAGGGATCCATAATTGCCGAGCTGCGGCGCGATTGCGTCTGGGATTCCTGCGGTCACGTGTTCGTAATAAAATCGCACCGTGGATTGTATTTCAGGGCTCCACCGGCATTGGGATTCACAAAATCGCTCGAGATATCTCGAAAATTCTTATTAAAGGGCAAGCGATGACAGTATAACCGGACACCGATGCGTTCCGCAAAATTAATCAGGGGATAATGAGAAGAAGCTTGTCGTGTCTCTTTAATTATTGCGCGGCGATTTACATGCCAGGAACAACGAAAGGATCGGAAGTCTCTTTCCCGGAGACGTCTTTCTCCGTGTACATCGACGACACTATGGCGCCACTAATGAATCTCTATCGATCATTTAATTCGTCTTGTCGAACTCGGAATTCTTTCCTCGTTCTTCGATGACTTCACTCTTGACACACTTTTCGCATGAGCACTGTTTTCATTAATAACATCTTACATACTAGCAGGTTCTTACAGTCGCGCACACGCACACACGCACACATTTACACGTTCTAGGCTCTTAGTCGTAATTATAATTAAACGCACGTCGTTTCCGTTTTTACTCACAAATTCCTCGTTACTCCGTGCGGGGATTTAATTAGGAGGATTCAATTGGGGAATTTAATTAGTCGGCGGTAGTTTATCGGGTGATTTTGCGGTTACAAGGAAGCGTGTTTGGAAGTACTATGTTACAGTTTACTTATTAGTCTGATAAGTAAACTACGTTAGTTTACTCATTACTACTAGTCGGATTGTTCGCTCGCGTTTCGAGTTCTCGCGCGATCAAGCCATCGGAAGGTTTTGCTCTAGGTACGCGCAAAAAGATTCGTTCGTGAAACCGTACGTTTGTCGGGAAAATTATCTGGGAATTGTCTGAGAGAGTCGAAGCATAAAAGTTTCACAGCGGTAAAGTATCCGCTGGGACAAAAAGTGCGATCGTCGATCGTGGAAGAAATGCGTTTGGCGTGAAAGAGGAAATTGGGGGAAATGAGAGTCACGAAAAGTGAAATTACACGCAAAGTATTGAGAATTGGAGAGAAAATCATCTCGCGGTCATCTTGAGTTATCAAAAATAATCCTGGTAGAGGATCTGAATTTTGCCGTAATAAAATATTCTATAGGAGGTACCAATTACTTTTAAATATAAAACTATTAAAATAGGCGTCGTTATATATTACATGTTATTGCATATTGATATGTAATTGATATGAAGTATTAGTACATACATTTAAGAGGCGTTACGTTATATATAGGAAGATTTTAAAAAATATTTTCAGTTCCTCAAAATTAACATTGGATACGAAACGTTAGCAGGAGTCGCTAGTAGGTAGTTTCGATAGACAATTTTGAATCCGTCAACAATCGGCAACGCTATTCGCACGCACGCACGCACGCACGCACGCACTCACGCACAAAGAATACGGGCCACTCGGGCGCTCGTTTCTCGAAACGAGCCAATATCGCGCGGGTAGAATAGCACCATTCGACGAGTTCGAAATTTGTCCCGAGTGTCTCTTTACTCCTCATCGACGACCCGCGGCATCGATCATTCCCCCCTATCGTTTACACTCTGCTGATGGCGATCCCCGGCCTCCCGGGGCCCAGGGCCTACCTAGGCGGTCGCCACTCTTGATTTCGGTACCTGCAGAGCAGCACCTTCTTGAACGCCTGGCGGAAGACCTTGTTGAAGATGGTGTAGAAGATCGGGTTGACCATGGAGCTGGCGTAGCCGAGCCAGGTGACCAGGTCGAAGATCTTGCGGTCGATGCGACGCTCGCAGTCCGGGCACAGGGCCGGCACCAGGTTCAGCACGAAGAACGGCGCCCACAGGATCACGAACGTGAAGAACACCACGCCGAGGACCTTGGTCGCCTTCTGCTCAAGCCGGATGATCCTGCCGTGGCGGGAGCTGTTGCGCGAGATCACGCTGCTGTTGCGCGAGTGATGGCTGCGCACCTGCCCGCCCGAGTACCTCAGCAGGTTCGGCGACGACGGATTACTCTGGTTCAGGGTTACGCTCGCCGTGCCCATCGCGCCGTTGTGCGCCCGCATCGTCGCCGCGCGCCGCAACGGCGTCGCTCTCGCGTTAGCGGTCAGCAGGGTCCTGGTGCTGCCTGCAAAGGATCCGAGAGGTTCGATTCACGAAAATGGATGGGGCCTGCGGGCAAAAGGATCGCCGCTGTCGCCGCAAATTGGAAATCGTTGCGGGGAATCTTGGGGGGAAAGTTCGGGATTCCAAGCGCTGAAAGTTTCCCCAATCGGCGGAAGGGTATTCAGATGTGCGGGAATTTAGGGATTCGGAGCGTTAGATGGCGGAAATTTCAGGATTAGAATTCAATTCCGGGATCTACCAAGTACAAAGATTATCTCTTGGAGTTGAAAAGCGCTCTCTACGGGAAATTCTTCACGTCGAATTCCAAGTCATGTGAAATTTGTCAATTCTCCCTGAAAACGGAAAGTTTATAATACAAAGCTGACTTCGAAACATTTCCTGGTGTTCGAACCACTTGGCAAATTTTTAAAATTAATTAATCAGACGAACGAGCAGTCTAAGAATCTTACTCTTTCGAGATACGCGAATGACAAAAGAATTGAACAATTTTACCGGTGAGAAATCGCAAGGATATCTTTTAATCTGCGTTAGAGCTCTTTAAAATTCGCCCAATTTTTACAGTCTTAAATCTGCCGGGATCAGTCGTGCGAAAATCCTGCACGATCCTGGAAAGGCAATGATCGGAAGCTTTTCGTGACCATGAATCACGTTCTTCTCGAACGAATCTCTCCATTTTTCCCAAGGCGTAAAAAGAGGGTGATGGAAGCGAGCAACTATGGGACTCGGGCAAACCCGTTCCACCCCTCTCCCCTTCGAGACTCGATCCAACCGCTTTCACGAACTCGCTCCCTCCCCTCCCCCCTCTCTCCCCCCCCCCCCGCAATTTTTAGCGGAACGTTAGCGGCACGCGATGGCCAGGGGAATTTCCCGCAGGCAATTATCGAAGAGCTAATCGAAAGCTCGTTGTTGTTTACGTCATCGCCGCTCTTATCGTCACGTACCCAGGCTGGAGCCTCGCCTTCCGCTTCGCCACGTGACCACGGAATTTGCGAGGGTCAGCTGCTCGTAACCTTTGGCACCCTCCGTTGATCTGGCACTGTTGTTTCTGCCCAGCATGCCCATTTCCGGAGACTTGTTGCCGATGGGTCTCGCGGCGTCACCTGGGAGACCCATTTCCAGGCTCCTGTTACCGATAGGCTTCATGGTGTCGCTGGAGACAATGACGATGTTCCCCGACGGCGGCGGCTTCTTCGAGGATTCTCCGAAATAGGGACACGTGCAGGGCGGCGGTAGCGTTATCGCTCCTTCCGCCGCTTTATCGTGACACTTCTTGCGCGTCGAGTCGTCCTCGCCCCTGCGGCAGGACGACTGCTCGTGGAAGCTGAAGGACCTCTTTCTGGGGGCCTTCGGCGAGCCCAGAATCTGTGTCGTCCTCTCCAAGTGGGCCTCGTTATAGGTCGACGCTCGTCTACGGTGCTTCCAGGGGCTCGCGACGTCCTCCGCCGACAGGCTCGTCCTCGAGCAGGACATGCTACTCTCCGTGCTCTCCGCGCTTCTGGAAAATAAGCGAGTAGTTGAGCCGCCAGTAATGTATTTATCGTTATTGACACTCATTTTTAGACAATATTGCCAAATCAAATAAAAATTGCAGCACAAATTCAAATATTAACGTGAAAGATGTTACTGAGGATATTATAAAACTGATTATTTATTGCAGCAATAATTTATTATTAATTACAACATAAAATGATTATGGTGTTATAGAATGATTACGTGATAATCCAACAGGATGATAATCGGGATGTGTCGCGGAATAATCAGAAGAGTTCAGTGCTGAGCGGTAATAGTCGAGAAATAGTCCACCGCGTGCGCGAAAAACGCACCTTCGTCATAGCTGGAGACTTTTCGATAAATCCAAAGTTTCGAGAAGTTATTGAATTAAGCAAATGAAACGTTTGTAATCGAAAAATTAATATTTGCAGTCTATTGTTGTTTCGCATTCGACAAACGTTTTATTGCCCGCTGTAAAACCGAGGGGAGAAACATTTGGGGAGGGTTTCACGCGCAACAAGACTTCTATTATCAATTTTAATCGATTTAAAAATAATCCCTGCCGCGATAAAAAGGTATGAACGTTTTATTGAGGGATTAATGCTCGAATCCTGTTATTTTATCACGCCCAATAATCTCTCTGCCGTTATAAATCAAACCGAAGAGAAAAAGGGGAATATTCGAAAAGTTTTTAACGCGCGACAAAAGCTTTTCTTATCAATCGCAATCGAGTCGAAAATAATCCGCCTATATACCGTGAACTAAAACTGCGCGAACGAAAGATTGATTCGCCGATTCCTTTATCATCCGGCACGGGATAATCCTCTTATTGTTTCACGCGATATTGTCGCTTAGAGTCCGCCGAAGGGAGAAAATATTTGGATATTTCTGTCACGATCCGGCCTCAAAGGGAATCTACAAATATCGCCGTCGCGAAATGCGTACACGGTCTATTGTTCCCATACGAGCGCGAGTCCCTTTATCATTTGATACGCGGAATCGGCCGGCCGCGTGCAGTTGAAGAGGAAAAACGATGAAATAGGAAAGAAAAAACCGTAAAAAAAAATGCGATTGCATCCCATTTTGCAGCGTGGCGCGGTAATTGATCGCGAGATTGGATGAGCTTGGTGCGCGCGGGAAGGAAAAAATTGCTTCCGTCCTTGCAAATTAGAGACACGCGAGATGTGCGCCTGTACCGAGAACTTTTGACGGTCGAGGGATACGCGCGCTCTCGTCGTCCCGACCGTTGTCGCCCCGTTATTTTTTCACACTGGTTACTCAAATGTCCATAAATATCCGTGTCTTTGTTACCGGCATGCTTCATTTGCCGGCGAATTGCGAATAGATGTCGAAACGATAGGGTGAAATCTCGGATTGGAGGGAAGAGTCAGCGTAAAGAGGAAACATGATTGCGCGAGGAACCGTGTACTACGAGGCAATCGGAATTTTGGAAAAGGAGTTGCAGCGGTAATAACACAACGAGAATTGAGATTTTTAAGGAGGGAATTAAAACAATGCGAAAGAAAATAGACAGTAATAATATTGAAATGAGAAAACTGTAGGATTTTAAGAAAATTCCGGAAACACAAGATATTAAGAGCCCGTTTGCCGGAACAGGCGGAATTTCGCGCTCGTTCTTTAAAAATTGAGATAAAATGGCCATTTTTCTGTGCGCCCCCTCCCCTCTGACTCACCGCAGCGTTATCAGAGCGTTATCGTTGAAGATTGACAATTTTATCAGCGTTTTGGACATGCGTCGGCAGGGGTTTTCGGGGATAATTGAGGATGCTTCCGGAAGGAAGAGAAACGGCCCGATTGTCCTCGGAGTGGATTACGGCCGCGGTCTTGACGGCAAATTGAGAAAAATATTGGCCGAGGTGAACTGAAGGGGTCGAGCACGGGAAGGGGTTGGGGGAGATGGCCTGGTTGTGGAAGAAACAGATGCATCTCTGGAAATGCATTTTAAGCAGGGAATCTAATCTGGTTTCTTTCTGCCGTTATATTGTACGTATTGCATTATTACGAAATTGCTATAAAATTTTTATTTTTACCTTTATTAAAGCCTAATCTATGTGGCACATACAACTCATGTATTAATTATATTCCCTATATTGGCTTTCAGTTTGATATATAATTTTCCTTTTGGTTCCAACACTTTTTTTTATTTTCCTAGAAAAGATGTCTAATAAAAAATTAGAAAGATGTAATCAAAACGATCTCAATCCACCTCGCTACTGCTCCGTGTAACTTGAAGTCCGAATTTGAGTGTTACTTGAGAAACCGTAAATGTTACGAATTTTTTAATTGTTATGGAAAGGGGCTTGTACAAAAATTTTTATTATTTCCTTAAATAAGAAATCACCTTCCTCTCTTGTACCACCAGTCGTGCTGTGAATTCGCAGGGAACATTTCGCGTATGTTAGTTTCATTACTCTATTATTAAATTGAACCCAATTCAATTTGTAACATAACAATTGACGGAAAAACATCCCGGGGGCGGTCTTTGAATACTCCGCGGTTATTTAATTTACGAGATCGACAGAAAGCAACTCGGCTTCGCGAAAGGCAAAGTCCTCTGCGCGCAATAGAGAGGTAATCTTCGTTTGATGCGTTCAGAGGCACGATCCTAAGTGCATTCCTTTATTAGAGGTTCACGTGGGGGCAGGAGCAGTTTACTTAAGTACGCGACCACGAGCGAACGAGCGAAACTCACCATCTGCGACCCCCCTTTCCCGTCAGCCCCCCCCCCCTTCGCTCGCCCTTTTCGTTCCCGTCCGGAGGTTGGTCCGTTTTGCACTTTGAATGCCAGCAGCTAAGTGCAATCCACTTTGAGGCTACCGTATATAAATGGGTTTTCTCGTCGTCGCGGTGACCTTTCTGACGCGTCCGCTTTCACGTTTTCACGTGCGTCCCGCCAGGTTTCTGGGGAATTTTCGAGAAATTTGACTGTGTCGCGAAAATATGCAAAATTCAAAAAATCGCGAGCGCCCGCGTGTAATCACACGTGCGACTTCCACCCGTATATGTGTCCCGAGAGGTAACTTGTTTTATCGTTTTGTAAAATGCATAGATAAAATTTCCTAAAATCAGGAATTTATTATCTTAAGGGTTGTTTTTCGCGAGATGAAATTACATACATTTGCATTATTTGCATAGAATTAAATTTTTCATCTTTCTAAAAGGATTCCGTTGATCTCGCGCGATCTGGGATTTGTTTTAACTTTTATGGCGGATGCACTCTTGGACGAAGCTTTAAATATATCATTATAGCCAAAGGGGACTTGCTCCGGGATTTCGTTACTAATACGTCCATTAAGAGGTGCAAGAGTAAAGAAGGAAACTGGAAATGGGAGCTGCGCAATCTGAAATATTACGATCTAATGATTGCACCAATTTACTTTGAGAGATTTTCGCCTTTCAGTGGCATCCGATACGATTCCGCTCTTGCGCTCCTCGCAGCATTTTTCCGGCGGTTTGCGTCTTGAAAATCTTACGTGTCTCGAATTGTAGATCGCTCGTTTCCCAAAAGATTTCTGCCGCCTGAAACCGCGGAGCCTCCGCGCTGCGCTACTTTCTGAAGACATTCCCGCAATCTTTCCCGAATATATTTCCCCGCATTCTCATTCCTTCCGACGTAACGAGTTCTTTTTATATCTTCGGTTCGGAAATTATTAAATTCTCGTGTTTTACTTTTGCCTGCCCAAGTACCTGCCGTTGATCTGATCTTTCGAAACGGTCTTTTGAACTTTAAACGTACCTCCGAAACGCTCAAAGGGGTGGTAGGAAATGGAAGACGCAGGACAGCAGATCGGTGGATTATGATTGAAACATATTTTACTACGGTAGGTTGGAGGAGTCTTTTAATATTCCGCCCGCACTCCCACGTTCTCATTCCACTTTCAGTTTGCGTATTCTCGTGGATCGACGCTGGAAGCTCTAAACGACGTCAAATATAATTCTCCCGCCCGCAACTCTCCCCGCTCTCTCTCTTTCTCTTTCTCGGTCGATTCCTTGAGGAAGCGATGATCCTGTGTGTAAGGACATTCCAAGAAATATATCTTAAGACTGTTGGATGAATTTAACGTCGATTCTCCACCGGTTACTTGTAAAAATTTATATCTCTAAAAACATTGTTTAATCGGGGGGGGATAATTGTTGATTCTGCAAATATTAAAAATTGTCCGAATCGAAAATGTGAAATGAAATTTCTTATTCGATCCACGTGGTTTTTTTTAACGAAAATATTAGTGAGTTTATAGGAAATATTGTACATATTCGCAAGCGAATATTTTTCTGAGATTTTCTAAAAATAGCCGAGAGCAACGCGCTGCATTTCTAGAAAATTTTCGGAAGGAAATATTTTTTAAGCAGCAATACGAGATTTTTCAACCTGAAAACTATTAAGGGCTAAACGTTGATCGAATTTATCATGAATTTAGATCGCAGGCGCGCGAACGTTATAAGAAATCCTTCACTTAAGATCTTCGGCGATAGTTGCGTGCGTGGGTTCTTGGATGACATAAATTCGCCGGAAACTCTCCGGTTGCCGCCGTAAGTTGATTTGACGCAAGGCTAACCGCGTCTCGTAGTAGTCACGGTGTTGTGCGAGCCGGAGTGACAAAGTGACGCAAATTCGTGCCGTCGTATTGCCACGGAAACGTGCCGCCGTCAGGCACAATGGTGTGTTTTGAGAGCCCGCGGGTTACGACACGATGGATATGTCGTTAATAATTGCGAAAGCATCCGCGCCGCGAGAATTCAGGCAAGCACGGGAAATTCCCTTCGCGCAAAATTGCGCCGCGGATAAATTCATTTCACGTGCTGAGCATTTTACGTAAAAACCACACATTGTTTAATAGTACAACAGAGAAAAATGCGTTAAGGAACAGAAGGAGGAAGCAAAGACGGAACGAAGCAAAAGTGAAGAGCTTCGTGAAAATTGTAGAGTCGCCCTAAAACAGACGCTTAAGTGAACGAAAGCTTTTGCGAAAGAATCTTCCTGCCGATAAAAAGATAAGTAAACATCTCTCCCTTTTCTGCGGCTTGGTATGATTTGTTTATTTCTCCTCTCAATCTTCGTAATTTCTAAATTTATATCTTCCCACCATGTTGTCTCAACATTTATACATACATGTTATATTTTATTTGTATCATATTTGAGTTGCGAAACTTGTGATTGCGAGAGACAAGCGTGGAGAAGGAATTATGAAAGAGTTATCTCGAATTGGCACATAATTGACTTGCAATATTCGTCATACCCATTGCGGAAGCTGCATCTGCGCGGTGATGGACCGTGGTGCTGCAGTTGCAGCAGCTGCTGCTGCGGCTGATGCTGATGCTGATGCTGATGCTGATGCTGATGATGATGATGATGGTGATACTGCTGGGTTGTCGATTTTGACGGGGTCTGATTGCTGGAGCTGCCGGCCATCCCCTCGAGACCCCTCGACAGCTTTAGCATCTCCGCGCCGAAGGCATGAAGGGCGGACATGGCCGAGGGTGGTGGCTCGCTCTCCTGAAGCCAGAGCTCGTGGGTATCGAGGGTGGTCAGCTCGGTGTCGGTCGACGTGCCGGAGGTGTGTTGCGGTGTGCCGCCGCTGCCCCCCGAACCCTTGTTCAGGAGGTATCTCTTCCAGGTGCCCCGTCGCTCAAGCCCTGCGCGAATTATCGGAGAACCAGAGATTTTAGCGATTAATCAGCATTTTCTCTCGATCGAGAGAGGGAAGGATGATTCCGGTGATCTTCTATTTTATCCGCGAATGAAAGGGGATTTGTTTCTTTTTTTCCTTTCTATTGGGATTTTTAGCGACTTGGCGATTGGAGAGCATCGGAAAATGCAGGATTTACTCCTCGCTCGGGTAGGGGGACGCTCTTTTGTTGAAAAACGCGAGATTTCAGTGAATTTAGCGATTGGAGATATTGAAGATTGAATTTGTCTTTTTCTCCGATTTAAAGCTTTTTAAAATGAATTAATGCGAGAGCTCTTCTCGCAAAGAGATATTCAACCACTCCTTATGAAGATACTTCGCAGAAACTTCTGTGTCGCACTCTGAAGTCTCTCAAGTCTCCCTGAATCGTACGATTGACAATATTAAATATGAATATCGGAAATGCTTGAAAATAAGATTACAATTTAAAATAGTCGTTCAAGTGGTTCGTCTTGCTATTCTCTAAAAGATTCTTCCGAATTACGTGAAAAAAAAGAAGAAGAATTCCTTTAAAAGATCACTTAATTCAAATAAATTTCGCTTATTCTTTCGCTTTTGTTTCGTGAATTCTCCGCCTCTTTTAAATTAACGGCATTTTTCTAGCCTGTCGATAAGGGGCCGTGCTTGTAATGAGGTACTTAAAGGATTTCTGTGTCATGTCCTGCAATCTTTCAATCCCACGGAATACTAAGCGCCCGTGAATGGGGCTCGCGCGCAACGGGATATCGATTAATTTTCATATCGGCGAACAGCCGGACGGGGCCTTCTTAGCATACTGTGCCGCATCCGAGATCTTTGCATAATGGCCGGCATTTGCATATCTCCGCCGTGGACGTCGACATGCTTCCGTTGACGTGCCGGCGAAATTTCTTGTCGCAGAGTGCTTTTAGACAGAAGCCCAGCCTAGTCCCTCCGTCCCATCGATTCCGGGGTCGATTCGACGCGAAAAAACGAGCGGCGTTGACACCATTAATCAAACGACCATCGCCCGCTAGGCATCCTCGATGTTGCACGCCGAATTATTTATACAGCGGTGGCGAATTGCATACAACGCCGCCGAGATCCGCGAATAGATACTAAATTCTAATGGGCCAATCCGTGGAAGGGAACAGTTAGGAAATCGCGGGAGCTTTGCTTTTATCTCATTGTCAGAATGGCTCCCGAGAATTATCAAACAATGACAATACAGAAGTTTAAGAGAAACGAAATCTCTTAACTCATTTATAAGGGGATGATCAAAAAGTTTCCGCTCGGGGTCCGCTAAGTTCAGAGGTTAAGGGTGTTTAAAAGTAACTTCCGTAGGCGTTAAGACAATCGTCCCGTTAACGAACAACGTCGGAGTTGTCGTTGTGGGTGGGAGCCTGCTGTCTGATGCGCGAAAAATCCCAGTACAGCCTGTTTCATATATATCATATCACCGTCCGATTGGCTTTTGCGCCCCGCCAGTGTCTTTTTTTCAGCCGGCAGAAGCGAAAATCACAAGGGGATAGATCCGGACTGTGAGGAGAGTACTCCAGGACACGACGTCCCGGCAACCTCGGTAAAGGAGTAATCTTGCTGCACGGCAACGCGCGTTCTCGTGTTACCAACATCGTAAAGGACAAATTGCAAGTCCTTAAATGGCAGACCCTGGAGCACCCTCTTACAGTCCGGATCTCCGCCCTTGTGATTTTCACTTCGCTGAAAAAGACACTGTGAAGACGTGGGTTCCAACGAAGCAGGTCATATTGGATTTTTTTCATAACATTCATTTCCTTATTCTTTTTGTCCTCGGTCCTTCTCTCTTTATGTAAATGTGCATCGCAATAGAAATAATAATAATAACATAATAATTTTCAATCCCGTTGTTAACGGAATGATTGTTTCGGAGGCTACAGAAATTATTTATATCCTCAATCTGAGTCTACCGACTCTCCAAACAGGAAACTTTTTGATCAGCCCTTGTACCATCTTGTTGTTTACATTTTTAATTCTACAATATGTATGAGGTGTCTCGCGACTTTTATTTTCTTCAAAGTTGTCCGGGGAACTTCATCAAGAATGCGCTTTAAAATGCAATAATTGTGCAGCGCTGTGTATAAAATAGCGTGGTGCATTCCGCCGTGAAGTTGGTATGCAAATTCCGTTTGAGGCAGTAATCGGAGGGTTGCCCAGGTAAAATCAAAGCGACAATAGACGATGTGGCTTCCGGCGAAACTTTCCGTCGCGGGAGAGAAAGAGGGACGGCAGGAGGTTCTCTCCCTCGGGAACGCTTTGTTGAGGGGGACGAATTTGCGCCAGCGTTCTCGGAAAACGTTTATGAGACGCCTGCAGACACGGTATCCTTTGAAGTCCCGGAAGCCGGCCGATAAATCGGAATAAATAATTTTTATCAGGCGGAGAAACTAAGTCGCGCAGCTCCCTCTACTCGGCGCCTCGCTCGTTTCCGAATAAAACGTTTCCCCGGGGAAAAAAAGTGGGAAGCATTGTCGCGCGGAAAGAGATAGAAAAGTGATGCGAGGGATACACCTGTGCTTGCCGTGTCTTGTTACATCTTGTATTTTTTGAAAATTAAGATCCGTTTGGATATTTTCTTAAAATACGCCATTCCAAGTTCATTCCCTTTTATGGATTTTGAGAGAAAAATTTGCCAAAAGTGGAAAATTGGTGAACAACAAGGTAACACTTGAGACAATAGTAACTTTTTATTTTTTCTATCGCTGTAAAGGTGATGGAAAGAAAGCAGGAAGTTGCAGGAGTGGTCCGTGAAATGATAAAAGTGTAGATGGAAGAAAAATACTTTAACCACTTATGTTATTTAATTACGGCCCTAAAAGCGCTTCCATCGTAGAAACTGGAAACATCGTGGATTCGAACGTGTAAAAATTTGAAGAACGAAAAATGTCGGTAGGAGAAGAAGAGCTTTCTCAATATTTTATCGTAATGTTTACAAAGCTTCATCGCGCTTTTCGGATTCTCAAATTCGAGATGAAAGACATAGAAATAGTCCGTTCAAGTTCGCCAAGATACTTGAACGTTAAAACAGTTTACTCATATGAATCGTCAATTAAGTAAATATTAATGTTTCTACTAATCTACGAAAAGTAAAGTGAAATATTTATACATTTTATATTTAAGAAATAAAAGGCGTGAAAATTTAAGCTCTGTTCTAAGGTAAAATTAAGGTAAAATGGACCAGAATGCAAAGTGCTAATTGAGGCGTTCGAGTGTCTCGCAAGGACCAATCGATAGGCTCTCGGGCATGGAGTAACAGGCTAGTGCATAGTACACTAACCTGCCGCGGAGGGTGCACCCTGAGGGGCACCCTGAGGGGCACCCAACCATCCCGATGACCAACCTGCTCCTGCCCCTGCGATGTTCTGCTGCTGTTCTGCCAATAGTCTTACTGTTAACGCGTACGTTAGCAACATCACTCCCAGCGGGATATAGAAGCAAATTATGCTACCGATTAACTTATAGAGGGGATCGGGTATCTGGCAGGCTCCGTCCACTAGTACCGAATCATCTTCCTGAAACAGAAAATGGGAAAATAAATCTGTTAATTAGCTGTCCGATATCAACTCGTGTGAATATTCGAGTGTACCAGACCGCTGGCGACACTATTAAATTGATGAACAAATTATTATCAATTAATTATCATGTAATGAAAATTTATGAAGGTACTTCCATTTAAATACCGCAACCTTTAAAATACTGCGCTGTAACACATTATTTTATTGATAGTGTATAAAAGAATTAATGGTTTATTAAATTCGATATTAAAGCGAAGGATGATTAATTGTTTATTATAATTCATTCAAAAATTATAATTACTAAAAATGTAATAAGCGGATTAATTACAATACCCGTTGGATCAAGGAGCACGTTGAAAAGAATTACAATCGCATTTATAAAATAAATGTATGTTCGGTTCATATTAAATTTGGAAAAATGTAAAAACAAAATCGGAGAAGCAAAAAATAAAGTTTATGAATGGAATTTTATTAATTTAGTAAAATTATAACGCGCTAACGAGAGATGTTAAAAAATATGCTGTAAGGTCAGAGAAATTGATAATATTGTGTGTGACGCAAATGTCACGAGTTAACAGGCCTGAGAGAGAAATAAAGATCGTGGCTTTCTTATGTGTTCCAGGACTCCGGAGCAATGTCCTAGCGTGGTGTCCCTCTTAGCGGAGAGCTACAATCCTCATGTGAGGTACGGCGCGGCAATGGCTTTGGGCATCGCCTGCGCGGGTACCGGCTTGAAGGAAGCTATCGCTCTGTTGGACCCAATGACTAACGATCCTGTAAATTTTGTCAGGCAAGGTGCGCTGATCGCATCTGCCATGATCCTGATCCAGCAGACGGAGTCCACGTGTGCCCGCGTTAAAGATTTTCGTGCGTTATACGCCAAGGTCGTGGTAGACAAACACGAGGACGTGATGGCCAAGTTCGGTGCAATTTTGGCGCAAGGGATCATCGACGCCGGTGAGTTTTCTTCGGAGCTCTTTGCACATGACATTCATATCTGTAATTTTAATTTTAATTATACATTCTCTCTGGAATTACAATATATATATTTTTTCCTAAAAAAATGTAATTGCGAATCATCCTGCATCTTGATCCGTGGACGATATAAAACTTTAGCTGGAATTTTCTGCCATGTCTTACAATTTTGAATTGTTATTGGATCCGTCAAATTTTTATTGATGTTTTTAACAATCTGCAATTTTCTATATATGAGAGCGTAAACTCTTGTATAATCAATTTCTTGAAGCGCAAAAAATTCGACTTTTAGCGAGATTTCTCACATAATTGGAACCTTTGCACTTTTCGCCAACCATACCTTTGCGACCTTAATAAATTGAAGGGCGAAAGAAATAAAGTTGCCGATGAGAGCAGCTACGAGACGAACGAATTTTCACCTTGTTTCAGGTGGTCGTAATGTGACCGTGTCCCTGCAATCGCGCACGGGACATACGAATATGCTAGCGGTGGTCGGGGCTCTGGTATTCACCCAGTACTGGTACTGGTTCCCGCTTGCGCACTGCTTGGCACTGGCTTTCACGCCTACGTGTCTGATCGCCCTGAACGCTCAGCTAAAGATGCCGAAATTGGAGATCAAGTCAAACGCGAGGCCAAGTATATACGCTTATCCTGCGCCTCTCGAAGAGAAGAAGAGGGAAGAACGGGAGAAGGTCACGACCGCCGTTCTTAGTATCGCGGCTCGTGCCAGGAGACGCGAAATTGAGCGGAAAGCCAGAGACTCCCATGAGAAAATGGAAGTGGTAAGTTAAAGGAGAAATCAAGAGATGCCGGAAAATGTTTAGGAAAAATACTCTCTTGTATCCGGCCAAGTAAATCACGAAGAGGATTCTATTCTTTCAAATGGTACTACAATCTTCTGACAGTAGGTTGTCAACCTACTGTCTAATCGCCAAGCTGGAGAGCCAAAAACCCCAAAGAATATATGTGGCAACCGATTAAAAATCATTTCTGTACTTGGCTGGGTTTGAACTCGGATCTTTTTGTTTACTAAGCAGTGCACATTTCTCTGCGCCACGCTCGCCACAGTAACTAGAAGGAAATAGCGAGAATAATTATGTGAACTTTTTTCAGTGTATATTATATGTATCGTTGATATCTTTTAAATATTTCTTTATCAATTTAATTTTTTATATTTTTGTTTGTATTTTAATAACTCTTGAGTTTATCGGGATTACTTTATTGGAAGTAAGTTTTATACAATGTAGGGAAATAATTGCTATTGTAGGGGAAAAAAAGCTTATATTATTATACATATATTCCTGCTATTTTTATTCTCATTGATTAGAATTAGACTAATGTGACTGTCCTTTTTTTGGTGAATGTCGTAAAGTTTTAATGAAAGATGTCCTATTAATGTCATTTTATTATTATAATTCGATTCTCTGAAATAGCGAATCGCCTGAATTATTGATTGAGTCTTGAAAATTTCAGAAATCTTTTCTATTTTTAAAATTATTGTAGTTTTATATCGATGGATTCTAAAATTCTTGATTTTGTTTGGCTCCTCGAATTTAAGAGGAGCTTAAGGACTTCTTGGAATAGACGTGTTCTTTAAATATTTAGTATCTTGAGTTTTAAAACGGGTTTTTTTAAAGCATCTAAATATTTTTAATAATACACGTTAATAATGTTATATATAATAATGTTTATATATAAATTGTTTCATCTTTTGGATTTTGTTTAAATTCCTGCGATTTGAAATTTTTATATCCTCGCAAAAATTTCTGATATTTTAAAGTTTTGAAATTCTCGTTTCAATATCATTAAATTTATGGATCATACTGTGTTTTTTGTTCATTAAATTCTTGGATAAATATTTATAAATGGATTGATTTAAACCTATATGTTTTCATCTTTGCGCGTTTGCCTGCGTCGTGCACACATTGCGCATTTAAATATCGTTTTTATCTCTTAAATGTATTGAGCCTCAGTTTTCATTTCAGCAAATTAGAATAGAATCCTACGCATTTGTCTTATCAAAAATTGTTGGTCAAAGTAATATAAACAAATAATCTGAAAGATTTTTCTCATTCTGGGACTTCGTGATAAACGTGGTGATTTACGTAACAAATTCATGACAAATGAGAGGACACGCTAATAGATTCCAAATACTCGCCCACACAAGAAAAGGCAAACCGAACAAAAATTGCAGGATCCGCCTTCGGAGACGAAGGAGCTTCACGAGGTAAAGGAAGCTGCGTCGTCCTCAAAGGAGAAGGATGACAAGAAGAAGGACGAGAAAGAGACTAAGGAAATCAAGGAGAAGCCCGAGAAAAAAGTGGTGAAAGACGATGAAAAGGAGAAGAAGGAACCGGAGCCGAGCTTCGAGATCCTCCAGAATCCCGCGCGAGTTCTGCGTCAGCAACTGAAGGTCATTCAGCTGATCGAGGGTAGCCATTACACTCCCGTTAAGGATATTCAGATCGGTGGTATTGTCATGGTTAAGCACATGCAGGCGGACACCGAGGAGGAGCTCGTCGAGCCCGTCGCTGGTGAGTGATGGATCCTATATTCGCTCGAAACTTAAAGCTCACAACTTTCTTTCGGAAATTGATTTCGAAGAAAAAGTAACTTTAACAGACAATGAGATTGATTGAATTGGAAATTTCGCGATGGTAAAGCAACAGCTTACGAAGTGTATATTTACACGATAATCGTTAATCCGTAGGCGTATTCCGAGACATTTATTTCAATTACTAGTCCGAGTCGAACTTTTCGTACTATTTGGACACTTTTAAGGATAATTTACACATACTTAGTTGATCTGTACACCCACATAGACCAACGATAACTATTTTGATGACATTATATATTTTTACTCCTCTCTTGAATCTTTAATTCTAAAAATTTACTTTAGCTTCTACTTAAAAGGACCTACTTTAATGCTAAATTGGCAAAAGTAGAAATTTCCGACACTATCGGTTTTAAAGTAGGAGTAAATTTTGTACTTGCAGTTCGACCTCTTTTATTGTCTTAGGTTCTACTGTATAATAGAATTAAAGGTTCAACACAGGGCCAAAATTTCAAAGATTTAATTATTAAACTTTATCCTTTACTCGCGCATGTTACTTATTAATTTATGCACTGTCGAGGCTTTAAGAAGATTTTGCGCGTAACAAAATGATCAGCGATCTATAATTTTTCACGTTGATCGTTTGACAGAAGGAGATGAGTTCTTTTTACAATTATTATAAATAAAGTCGGTCCAGCCCGATCCGTTTCTTCGGGGTATCGAGTTGCTCGAGGGGTGTTTGCGCTTGAGCACGTCCGGTTTGTTTCAGCTTTCGGACCGAAGCCGGAGGAAGAGAAGGAAGCCGAACCACCCGAACCCTTCGAGTACACCGAAGATTAAAGGCCGGAAACACGCGTCAGCCCGTTCCGTCATCCTGCCATTCTTCACCGCGATGGCATCGCAATACGCTCCTCGTCACCTTTCGTTAATATCCTAACGTCTCTTTTTTTTTATATTCGGTTTTCTCTGCGTGTCTATTTAATTAGCGGAATACTCTGCCAGCTGCAATAAAACTGTTGCGTCAGACCTACTCGTGTTATCAGTCTCCCGTCTTACAACTTTTTAATTAGGTTCCTAAGCAGAATCGAGAAGATTAATGAACCGCTCGTCAACTTAGTTATTTACGAAGCTATAAATAGAAATATTTATGTAATAATGCGAACGTATTAATTTTTTTAATTCTAGAAATTAATTTTTATCAGTAGAAACTGAAAAGAAAAGAAGAGAAAGGTTGGAATGTGATAAAAACACTTACCGCGCAATCATTGTAAATACATTGGTGATCCCTTTTCTCATGAGTTTTTTATTTCCTACGTATATGTTATGTATTAATAAATGACATTTTTCTAGAGAAGTAATTGTAAGTTATTTCAGATTAAATTTGTGAACACTTAATTTTTATATATGTCACAATTTTTTTCTAAGCAACGAAGTATTGCCTGTTTCAATAAAATTATTACAAAGAGATACTTGTTTTATCAGTCATTCATTTTTTTTAATTAATAAAGGAAGTAGTATAAGTTTGCGATTTTGATTTAATGAATTTCTACAGACGGAAGAAAATATTAGTGAAATGGCATTTTTGCATTTGTTTCCGTTTGTTTGCAGGAAAATATGACAATCAACGTTTTTATTTAAAATATCTGTTTTCGCTGCTCTCGCGCCGAAATAATTTCTCCGCGACGCAGTGACGGCAAATAAATAGACTGTCGGCGCTTCTCCGTGACTTGTCATCCCCCGTAAATCACTTGTTAATAATTTACACCCGCGGACACGATCGCGGAGTTATCCTTACACGTCTGCCCGAGCACTTTATTTCTCAAGTTAGCGCGCGAGACAATGCACTCCATAATTCATCGTGCTCATCGGTGAAGTTTGACGCGGGGCATGCGGGTCATCCCGCAGACATGAATCTTCCTTGAAATACGCTTCCGCCTTCAGTCTCCGTCGTCCGTAATGGTCAGCTCGTGTTCCGCTTCCGCGGCGGTCGCCTTGATCGAGCGCGGGTCATAACGCTCGTCGGTGACTGCAACGGGGAGGAGGGTGCGGGAAGAAGATGAAGAGATAGACGTTCCTCTCAACTCCCCCCCCCCCTCCCTCCACCGCCGTTGTAAGATTGCAGCCCACGCACGTGTACGTCCGCCACACGTGTTCCCGGAAGGTGCGAATTCCGCTCGATGTCAGTCGATAACGCTCGATGCGAGGTCTCTCCTCGGGGAATCGAGAGAGTGGCTCGGAGATGATGTCGCCGCGCCCTTTAATTTTCCACGTAGGTTTTTCAAGATAGGGAAGGAAGCTGGGAGATCGAGAATTCAAGGATCTGCCGTTTGCGCTACGAGGACGACGGTGAAAATGGAAAATCTGGTCTTGGAAATGGAAAGGTCTCTCCCCGAAAATGTTCAAATTAATAAATAAACGCAGTCAGGCTCGTGTTGGCTGAGCAACAAGCGGAGGGACGTTAAACGAACAAAAACGAAAATAAATGTGATATTTATATTCAAAGCGACAAAATGATAAGCGGAACGTTTCGACTACGCCAAGTTTTCACCGGCCGATAAATATACGTAAGTAGAAATTGTTTAAATAGAAATAAGGCAATTGTTAAAGAAAACGTAGGTCCGTACGAGTCAAAGAAAAAACCAAGAGGCCACAGCTGAATCTTATAATACAAAGTGTGAAAACCAAATTTAAGAAAGTCAAAGAATGTATCCAGAGAAACGTCTAAAATTATCGGAAAGAACATGTTTAGAGCTCGAAAATTGTTTATACGTCAAAAATCGGACTTAAAAAATCGCCAATTGGCAAAGACACCCGTCGCAGATTGAAGGGGGCTCTGGATTCGTGATAATTTTCGCAACAAATTCTTCGCAGTGATTTTAACGGGAATAAGAAAGTCTCCCGAAAGTGTCCAAGTTATCGAGATGAAGATGTCTGGAGTCCGAAACGTCGACACGTCAGAAATCGGATCTGAAAAACTGGCGAAGACAACCGCCACGGTTTCAAAGAAGGTCCTTCGCATCTTGGCTAGGGTGACATTTTTCGCGATAAATTCTTTACAAGTGATTTCAACGGGATTAGCTTTGGGATTAGCATCAGAAGTAGAATCGATTGTCGACTCAAAGTACGTGGATTTTCTGTTCCGGCGAAAAGCCGTGTTTTCCGACCGACAAGTCGGCGGGCAGTTCACCGAGTTGAAAAAAGTACACGAAATTCGTGTAGAAATTTTATTATTAGGCTACGAAGTGTCCAGCCTGGATAAAAAATGGCGGCTTCTCTAATTAATCGCTAACAAATCGCGACACCAAAGTCTCCCCCGAGGGTAAAAAGATCGCGTCAATTTCACGAACCTCGGAATTTTGACATCCAATTTCACAGAAATGCCGAGACTCACGCTGCTGGAAATGTCCAGATTGAAAAGAGAAAAACGAAGGTATCCAGGATGTAAAAATGTGACGTGCCGCGAAGACCCCTTTTTTTTTATCTACCGTCCGTCCTTTCCTCACCATTCGAGGCCCGGGTCTCTTAGTGTTAGATCAACGCGCGATTTTGCGGCAAGTGATTTTCCCCGGTGCGGGGGAAACGCGAAATATCCGTGCAATCGAGCGGGATATTTTTGCACAATTGGACGGGACATTTCCCGTCGCCTCGCGGCGTCACAGGCGCAAATTTCACTTGGGGTGTTGGATGGAATTTTGAATGAGTACATGACGGCCGCGAAATTTGGATCAATACCCCAAGTAAGGCTTGAAACGCGCTGGTAAATGGCGTTGTAAAGTTGCTGAAACTCGCCCGACAAACTCGTCGATGCGGCGTTTCCGCGGCGATGCTCGCGTCGCCTCGGCTCGTCCCGTCCCTCTTCCCCTCGCGCCGCGAAACGAAAGTAGTTTGCACATTTGCCGGAGCAGTTTGCAAGCCGAGAGGCAGCTTCTACGACGATGAACACGCAAGAAAAGAACCTGTTAGACGTGTACACATTACATCCATCTCCTCGCCCCTCCACCCCCGCGGAAAACCCATAGCGCCGGCATTTTCCACCGGAATTCGCAGTCATGTTTTCATTCGCGAAAATTAAAGGCGACATTGTATAATTACTTTGTTGTCGCGCGCAGCTATTTTTTCACTTCGCTTAAACGCTCTTGACGTAAATGCAAAACGTGAGGGTAAAGGGACAAGTAACAATGGGACGAGCAGCGATAAGGGACGAACCGATGAAAGGGCAAAAATACGTTTCACGTATATCGGGCTGTGAAATAATTACAGAAATAATCGCATTGAATTACAGAAGTAATAGAAGCCCCGCGCGACTCTTGGAAACGCGGGTCGCGCGTTCGCTGTATTGTTTAGCGGGTGACGAAGGCTCGGGTTTTGGACGGTGACATTTAACGCGATTTTCGGGACGGCTGTGGCGCAAAGCCGCATTGAAACGACGGCCGGTTGAAGGGTTAGTCGGGGCGGATTTACGAGGGGGCGTGTAACAACGGACCGAAACAACGGACAACTGTTTCATAATGCAGCGTCGCCTCATCTCCGCGCGCGCGCGCGCGCGCGTTAATTTCGCTCGGGGCGAGAGAATATCGGGGCGCCGGCCGCGTCTCCTTTCCGGACGGGACCGCGCCGACGAAAAACCGGCGTGCAGCCCCGTATAAATCCACCCCGCCGGGTCTCCCTGTCCCTGCATCGGGAATGATCGATGAGCGGCGCTTCCCGCGAGCGGCGATAAACTTTCGGCCATCGAGATTCGCGTCTGCCACCTGAGAGGGATTTTACGGGCGAAGCCGCGGCAATCTTTCGATCGTTACGGAAAATTGAGTGGCACGTTCGCGCGGTGGAGAATGCGGCAAAAAATTATCGCGGCTGTACGTTCGGTGGCGGCTACGGGCCCGGCCCGCGTGTTCATATCTTGAGGGATGTATAATTTTTCAGAGCCGCGCAAAATATGGAGCGAGTGAAAAACGGGATGGCAGAAAACGCGGGATATTCTCCGGAAAGTCCGGCTCGAGTTTTATGGAAGAAATGAACGGAGTAAATTCTCCTTATACGGACTTTATTCTCGAGAAGGTTCATTTCTGTATGTAATGTATTATTAAATTATTGTTGTTGTTGTTATTCTTGCTGTAATTGTTATTGTTGTTGCTGTTGTTGTTGTTGTGTCTGTAATTTATTATTTATTTTTAATTATTAGCAAGAATGAAAACGAGAAAGCGGGAGTAGAGTTTGTCTGACCGATCACTGTCTTGCACTACTTATTTAATATTCGCGAGAACGCGATGAAGACGAGAAAGGTAAAGAAAGATGAGACTATGTTCACGAGCGGTCCGTCACAGATCACGTTTCTTAATCTGTTTGACATTTTTGACCGTAACTGCTTAATTATACAGTGGTGGACAGAATGGTTGCGACACTTTTTTTTAAAGTGAGTTTAAGAACGCGCATTTAGATTCGGGTTTATGTTCCAAGGCATTTTCTCCGGGGGAAATTTTACTCGAGAAACAGATCGAAAACGCTCGAAGTGTTTTCGGAATAGCCATCGGGTAAAATATTCCTCGGAGAAGATTTTGGAACGTAACCCTGAATCTAAATGCACGTTTCTAAACTCATTTCGAAAAGAAGTATTGCAACTATTTTGTCTATCACTGTACTGACGTGGGTTTGTAATGTATTTGATTTTTCTGACTTTATTACGACTTTGAGGTACTTTTCACTTCTGGACCAGTTGACTTCTCTCCTGCTTTTCGATGAAGAATCTTAGAGCGCGGTCTAGTCCAATTAAAATCGTGTGAGAATTGATTTCCGAATATTTATTGCGGCTGACACGTTCACTAATTCTGGTCATATAAATTTGTTTTCGCAAACTGTAGTCTTAATCGAACACAGTTGTCTTACACAATAATAACCGCGTTATACTCTCATTGCGCTGTTGTTGTTTTTGTGTTTATGTTATCGAGAGTTAAATTCATTTATTTTATCGAAAAAAAGAGCAAGCCAAAAGATTCTGGAATTGACATCTGTCACGAATTTGGGAGGTCCAGGTTCAAACACTCGGGCCGAGGTGATGTTTTTCGCTATAAACTCTTTACAGTGATTTTTAAATAGGGTGCGTATTTACGTAAAAAATCGTTTCGGTCGATTCAAGTATGCGCATTTCTCAAGACTGTGTTTTAAGATCGACAAACAACTTACTGAGTTTAGAAAAGGTATATTCAACATTCACACGGAATTATTATTGGTACACAAGAATACACAAGAACTAGCTCTGGTCGAAAAACAGCACGGCGTAATTGATCTTTGATTTGACGAAAAGATTCCAAGTGATAAGGTAATTAAAAAAATTGCGACTGACGCGAAAACGCGGCGGCTCACCTTCGAGTACATCAGGCTCAGAGGTAGACTGATCGCGATGCTGAGGATCCAGACGAAGGTGATCTTCAGCGTCACCCTCTTCTTCGTCTTGTTGCGCCCGAATTTCATCGGGTAGCGCAGACTCAGGTAACGGTCCACGCTTATGGTGCACAGGTGCATTATGCTGGCGGTGCAGAATAGGACGTCGAGGCAGATCCAGGCGAGGCAATAAACCGACGGCAGCGGGAAGTACCCTGCGAAACAAAACGGCGAATGAGTCACGGCCCGCGTGCTCGCCCGGTACGCGGGGGCTAATTAAATCCCGGCTCAATTAGCGGCGTCTTGGCTTGCCGAGAGATAAATTTCAATTATCCCGACATTCGTCCGCGCGGTATTTTATTTATGCGCCGGCTTCGGCATCGCCGCTGAATATTTTTCTGCATTAAACGGACTTTAACATCGAGATGTAACGTTGCGGAATTAATATAACAATTGAAGCTTTAATGTACTGAGCCCGCGTAACAAATGGCGTGCTTTTTTTTGACGAATCTCATTCTCGCTCGTTGCGAGCATTTCTCTGCTTAAATTCCGTTTAACGTTAGATCCCTTCGGTCGTGTCTTGAACATTAGAAACCGAGCATTAGAGCGTGGAAATTATTATTGATCGGACGTGCTGAAATTATCGTTGCTACCCTTGACTTCTTAGTATGATGTTATACCGAGACGACATCAATACACGGGTTCGCCGGCGTGTATGATAACGATAGACAAGCAATTTACATGCGTAGTTTATTAAGTAAACTTCGTAAAGGGCGCGGCAATTTTCCTTTAATCTTCGCTAGATTGCATTCGAGGCAATTCGGGGCCATTCGATATTAAATTTTCAGTTTCCCTCGTCCTCGCCAGGCGATATGTGTAAATGGTAATATTATCGCAAATAGAAAGCTGTTATCTCGAGATCGATGCTGCAGTGATTTCATTCTTTTTTTTGCGACCTTTAAACTTTGTTTAATAATTAATCTTCGTAGAGCTGTTATTCGAGTCTCAACGGGTGCTCTCGGGGTTTTTTTCAATTATTCATTTTTGCAAGCTGCCAAAGGCCATAATTGATACGCCCACTCTTCGTTAATAAACGTTTTACATCTAGCGGACGTGGCCGAGCAAAAACTTTAGTTTGTCGAGCAACTTCCGGCTGTAAAACTTCCCCGCCAAAGGTTACTCGCTAATCATTTTACTCGCGTAATTAATGAGTAATAAATATACTCGCTCTGCAATCTCCCTCTTGTGGAGAGTTGCTCCTTTTCCAATATAAATATTTTACAAAATAGGGATTTTGTTTTAATAAGAATTTATGCGTCTTACATCCTAGATTAAGCGTTCAACGGGGACTTAACGTCAGGAGCGGAGATTCCGTCGCGATAAAGATTATTTTCCGATACGTTTCCAAACCGGTCAACGATCTAATCTCGACGGGAGAGATCGCGCTTACTCGTAATGAAATTAAGATTTAATTAAGATTGAGATTTAATTTACTCCCGAAATATTTCGGTACAAGATTAGTTTTTAGATACGCCGGCGTGGTTTGAGCGAGGGCCCAGTCTCGCTCGAAGGGTCAAAGGTCTCTCCTAAGTACTCCGGGAAAATGATTAACCTTCAGCTGTAAGCCTCTCTTTGACGGAGATTATTTAAATTTTGCAGTGTGTCGCGCGAGTGTCGCGCGGGGTGTCGCGCTCGCGATCCCGGATCCCCGTCCTCGAGGGAGGGACGAAAGTACCGAAAGCACAGATCCAGCAGGTGAAACGACAGGCGGTTAATGCACGAAGGAGCGAGGGATTAACACAACTCCGCGTGTCGAACGAAATTACCGTCTCGTGCCCGCCGTGCAACCCCCAGAAACTGCATATTCATGTACGCCGCCGGATTATCCACCGTGTATACCGACGATCTAATATTTCGCTGTGTTATTAATGCAGTATACTCCGCCGTGATTCCGGCTGCTTGCAAAATCGTCAGTCGTCCCCGGAGATTTGCACGCGCGTACGTACGTCGCTTATTCCCGAAGAAAGGATCTACTTATGATTCACGGTATTGTAACCGTCGTGTATGTTGTGTATGCATTTCATTTGTATACCACGATGTATTCGTTCGACGCGGCGAGAATAAGAATGGGGTACCGAGTTGTTGTACGCAACTGAATTCCTATCCACGCCCAGGAAATGATCTTGTAACTGCAGCAACCATTTTCTAGGCGCGAAGAAAATAACTGAGACATATGAATGAATAGACAACACTGCAAAATCGCATATAAGGGGAAGCTGGAGTGATTCTAACTGTTAGCGAATGTTAGATTAAGAAAGCGAGTGGGAAACTGCTGACCAAAATCTTGTACACCAATGGCCACTAATGCCTAATGGGTATTACTTTATCTTTTTATCTTATTTTATCTTATTTATCTTGTTTTATCTTATTTTATCTTACTTAATTTTTACAATGCCCCAGCAAGGCCTAATATCGAAACTAATGCCCAAAAATGCCTAGTAGTGCCTTATAGTGCCCATGCAGTAATACCGCAGATCTATACACCACAATGCCCTCAGCTGTTTCCCCCTCGGGAGAAAGTCTCTCTTCTGTGGCGCCCATCCATTATAACGTTTGATTGTGGTACACAGTTATATCTCTTACAAAGATTGTTCTAACTGTGGCACCGAAATTCATTTTTATCCAATGCGAATGATTAATATTTAGCCATGAGACCTAAACTTTTTCCGAAGGTATTACTAGAATATTGCTGCTATAAATTTTGCAGGCCACAAACAAGTTTCTAACTGATACACGATATAGCGATAAATTTGTGTCGCGACATCTAAAAATCTACCTCCGCTAGTGAGATATTTTTTTGAATGCAGGGGAAAATCCAGTGTGGCTGAGTACCAGAAATCGAAATTCTTGAAATCATTGCGGGCCCAGATTAATTGACATATTAAATGAAAATTAAATTCGCCTAATACAAATTAAAGAGGAAGAAGAGCCAACTGTGCGAGCACTAAGAAGTTGTAAATATTACTTTAGTCTTTATTCTCTAATAATTCACTTTTGATAATTTAGTTTTAAAATGAAAACATAAAGGACGCATATGTCAACAAAACGCTATGATAAAGAACATAGAGATTAGCGTTGAAAATCTAAATTTTTTGTACAAGAAGTTGATTCACATGATGATCAAGAATTGATATAAATCGAAGTTAATTCGCATCGATTATGAATTGATATAGTTCCCTTCTTTTGCGTGATTAACAGGTTTTTAGGAATTTGACAATGATAAACGGATTTCTCCGCGAATTAAATTTTACGAGGGAGCAAAAGTGAAAAGATCTATCGCAAGAACATTAATAAAAATAATCAAGTATATATACATGTTAAACGTTCATCGTACGTAATTCAATGTCGGTGCAAAATGTTCCATAACTACTGCACGACTCTTTAATAACTTATAGAATTTTTTATTAATTATTTGTCAATTATACCTGATACATTGGCCGCGCGGTGGTGTGCGAATTGTAAGCGATTAAAGTTGGCTAATAATACCGTGCAGAATTAGAACAGCAATCACCTGTTATTGATTTCACATTAGCCTAGGTGATATGGACTCTAGCTGCTCAAATCACTTTGTCTTTTATGCTTCTTACACATCGATATGTACGTACGGCGATCAATTAATTCCGACGAGTATTAATTAATTGAATAAATAACAAGGCTAACGATACCAAACTTAATAAATGACAAGTAAAATGGGGCTTTGGGAGTTCAGCGCGATTAACGATGCGTACGTTAACGTTATATCGATCTTTAACAATTAATAAGATTCATAATTGTAAATTGGAACGTTTCGGCTTTGAACCACCTTCGGCGGGGTGGTGACAATTAAATCAAAATGATCGCACGTTCTCCGGCCAGAAATAAGGGAGCAACTTCAAACTTTAGTAGTCGACAAATAGCGCAATTTTCCGCGAAGAAATCCAAGTAAAACTTGGCTAACGGCCGCAGTTTATCACACGATGAAAGTCAAAATGATCGGTCACAATTTGAGCAAAGAGAGAAGCGAGGCCGCTTCTTTTATTATTAATTTTACATTGGTTATTAATACTGGCGATTACGAGCAGCGTATTTTAAATGTTATTACTTAATCCTATTTTCAACCAGAAGCTTTGAGCTGAACTGAAGTTTGATCGAGCAAAATCGTCATCTCGCGTAAAACGTTGACGAACCGCAACGGATGAGTGGGACCCATAGGCAGTCCGCCCGCGGTGTATTTCCGGAAAAGAATGGAAGATCTGGAAATTGACGTAAAATAAAGCATTTGATGCGTAAATCACTATGCAAGCGCCAAATTGGACAAAGCTGGCGTTCCAGAGAAATGGCCCATTTAAAATCTCACTGGTACTCGATGGAACTCTCACGGTCAGTTAAACTAGTTCAGTTTTCAGCGGTGTTAAAGTCAATTTGGTCAGTGCTAACCATTTATTTTTCTGATTTTCATTCAAGCTCGACTTTTTCATTCTGTGACATAGAATTTAATTGGAATTAAAGCTGTGCTTAATCTGAAGAGGAGAATAAGTGCACAGAAAAGACCTCAAGATTTAATACACTTCGATCTATCATAAATTAGGATCGGTATAGCGACAGGCGTGTCCATTATTAAGAAAAGAACATTTTAATCTTAGTTACAAATCTAGAGGAAAATAATGTTGGTGCGTTACAACGCAACGAGGGAAGATTTATTCTGAACGCAAAAATATATAAGCTTCAATTCATATACATATGTAATTCTTACCTCAATATAGTAAGTCGATCTTATTTAACCCTTTGAAGCATACGTTTTGCTATTGAACCATTTTTTGTGAAACTTTGTACACAAGGGTTTTTGGAGTCGCTGATTACGAATCCGTTATCAGATTTTCATAATTCAAAATGGCGGAATTCCAAACTTAAAAGAATAACATCATTCAATTGTAATTCAACTGTGCTAAGAAACATTATTTAGATGTCATTAGGACCCATGGAGTCTAAATTCCAGTTGAAAGTTCTTATAAAATATAAAAAATAGCGCGCGCGAAATGGCGGATGCAAACTTGAAATTCGATCATTTCTTAGAATTTACTCATTCTTGGCACTTCTCGGAGCTAACGACGCGGACGTGACGAGTCCCTAAATACCGTAATCTTATACTATAGCGAAAATGCTAAAAATGCTCTAA